TTTGTTTGTTTTTTGTTTCTTGTTTCTTTCCGGTACCGGGAATTGAACTCACGACCTTGTGCTTGCCAGGCAGGCGCTGTGCCGCTGAGCTAAATCCCCAGCCCCTTCTGCTTGATTTTGAATGTCATGTGACCAAAATGATACAGATCTAAGTGTATGTACCTACACATATGTACATACTTACATATATATGTGGCTTATTTTTATTCAGTATTATATTTTTCAGATTTGCCCATGTATTGTAGTTAGTCCATTTTTGCAGTTATATAATATTCCCTTATATGAATTATGGGATAATTATTTTCCTAATTTTCAGTTGCCTGTTTGGACTGTTAAGTTTTGATTATTCGGTGCTGCTATGAACATATCTCCTTCCACTCTGGCTTGTCTCACAAAATGGTATATTTTTTTAGAAATAGTTCCTAGTGTTGATCATTTTCCTGTTATGGTTAGTGCTTTGTGTATATTTTGTGTGATTAACTTTTCATCAGCCTGAGATCATGAGATGTATAAAAGTTTTATCAATCCACCATCCCTGTTGGGGTCTGCTGTCTACCTGGAAATGGTGTCCATGTTGGATGTGAGGTAGGCTTCTCTTTTATCTCTTCCAGGTTTCCTCGCTATTCTGCATGGGATATTCCCTCCCTTTAACACAGTCATGGTCATGGCAGGGCTGTAATCTATGTCTTGGTGCTGGGTGGCTCTGAACTATTGGTGGTACACTTTTGATTGTCCCATTGGATGGCACAGAAAAGTCCCATCATGTGGTACAAGCTGCCTGACATACCACTGGTCGTTCAAACTGTTGGGAACATGTTAACAAATGAGTCACGTGTAAACGTGAGCTCTACATTTGTCCACTATTGCCTACAGAAGGCAGTCACTGTTTTTAAGTGAACTCGCTTTAAGTGGACTTCTTGGTATAGTTATTTTGCATAAGGAGAAGATCCTGTGTTACTAAAGATGCTGCTGTTGCACGATATGTTAGCACACTTCAATCTTTAATACAGGATGGAAGATTTTTTGGTGTCTTCCATAGATGATTTTTGTCTCTACCTCATGAAAGATGGTGTCACATTCAGAAGACCAAGGGATATGGCTGCTTAAAAGACTGACTTAGTCTTTTTATGTTGCAATATTGGGGACTGAAACCAGGGTGTTGCACATGGTAGGCAAATGCTTTACCCCTAAGCTAAATCCCTAGCTGTTTTTTATTGTGAGATAGTCCTACTAAGTTTCCCAGGATGGACTTGAACTAGTGATCCTCCTGCCTCAGCCTCCAAAGTAGTGAGGATCACAGGCATCTGTCACTGCCCCTGGCACAAGACCGTGAATTTTGATGACAGTATTAAATTGTTATATATGTGTATAATATAAACAGTGGTATGCCTTGCAGTTAGAAGAGGCTGACCGAGATTTGTTTTCATTTCCAGGATGAAGTTAAAAAGACCACAGTGGTTGAGGAGCCAGGACTGTTCTTAATAAGACTATGTTGACCCAGTTCTTGCTCAGAGCAAGATGGTTCCGTTTTCCATTTCAATTTTCATACATACTTTTCACGTGGAACAAGTCAGTTTGACTTATCAGTTCATCAATCTAAATTCCATGGGGAAATAAAATATGAAATAGTTGTAGTTTTCTTTCAAATTCATTTGTTTTGACAACACTGAGATTCCATCTGACTCCATAAAGAATGGCTGTCATCAAGAAATCAACCAGTAACAAACGCTGGAGGGGCTGTGGGGAAAAAGGAACCCTTTTCCATGGTTGGTGGGAGTGTAGAGTATTACAACTGCTGTGAAAATCAGTGTGAAGATTCCTCAAAAAACTAGGATTAGAGGCCCCATTCAACCCAGCTATTTGCCTGCTGGGTATTTTCCCAGAAGAATTGAAAGCATCCTACCACAGTGATATATGTGAACCCATGTTTATAGCAACACAATTTGTCATAGCTGAATCTTTGAAGCAATCCAAATGCCCATCAACTAAGGAATGGATAAAAAAGATGTATCTTTTTGTACAATGGAATATTATGTAGCTATAAAGAAGGATAAACTTGAGACATTTATGGGGAAATAGCTGCAACTTGAGACTATACTCATAAGTGAAATAAGTCTTGCACATGTAAACATCATATTGTCTCCCAGTGTAAGAAGCTGAAAGAGTAAATAAGACTCAAAATGTACAAAAGATACTGTGAAATGGGAGGAAACTGCTCAAAAGGAAAGAGAAACTGAAATGGGGAAAGGGGAAAAGGAAGAAGGGAAAAGGATAAAACTAAGATAGTTGTACTAATTGCTATTAGTTCATTGAAAAGAAAGGTTAATGCCTATATTGTTTGATCAGTTTTTCAGGCCTTTATTTTGTAACATGAACAACTATTTTGAAGATAACAATACACAATGTGGTGGATTGAAAACTGGTGATCAACTTGTAACACATTGCTGAACTGAACCAGTGTAGTGCTGGGTGTGGGAGGCCCACCTGAGGATTGTTGCCAGCAGCATGAGAGGCAGAACTGGAGAGGAAGAAATTTAGAAGCTGTTAGGGAGCTTTTGGTTCTCTTGGAGGACCTCTAAGGAGTCCCTTTAGACACCATGTGACACATGTTTGAGTTTAGATCATTCAAGGCTAGGACAGATTTTCACTGTGGAGATTGGGGCAGTAGGCAGGTGTGTTCAGTTTGCAGCCTAGAATGTATAGCAATGTCAGTGTTCTCTAGTTCTCTTGATGGCTATCTTAAACCTGGTAAAAGCTAAGCTGCTGTAGCAGAGGCTTTAATATGTGATTTAGAGAAGATAGCATTCTTATTCTTGTAATGTTCTCTTTAAGTATAGGTGTAATTTGCAACAGTAAGATGTGCTTATTTTAGGGTGCAGCTTTGTGAGTGTGAACCAATGCCTAACGCCTTGTAACTACTGCCATAATCAGTGTTCCCCGCCCCTGGAAATTACTGATCACTTTCCTGTTCTTCTTGATCTGTTCCAGACCATTCTGAATGGAACACCCAGTGTGGCCTTTGAGCCTAGCTTATTTCCCCAAACAGTGCATTGAGGTTTGTCCTGGGTCCTGTCTGTGGTTTGCCTCTTGGTGGCCAAGGAGTTTTCCATTGGCTGGCTGCAACATTTTGTTCAACTTTTGCCAACAGAAGGACATTTGAGTTGTTTCTGGCATGGCACCTTTTTTTTGTGGGGGGGGTGTCTTTTTGAGACAGGGTCTCGCTATGCAGTTCAGGCTGGCCTTGAGCTCACTTTGTAGCCCAGGCTGGTCTTGAACTTGCAACAGTCTTCCTACCTCAGCCTCCCGAGTGCTGGGATTACAGGTGTGTACCACTGCGCCTGGCTTTTTTTTTTTTTTTGGCATGGTACCCTTGAAGTGAGTGGCTCGTGAGTATGAGAGGTCTGTGGGGTGCCTGGGCTTTTTAGGGTCACTTAGGGACCCAAGATCCTTCCATCCTATTGCCTGAAGAGTTAGGCATGTTTATTCTGCTAGGAGGGAGATAGAGGAGGAACTTCCCATGGCAGCAAGGCAGGAATTCCATATGTCACTCTTGCTCCTGTTTCAGCTATGGGACTCAGTCACATATCTATAGCTGGCTGCAGGGAGGCAGGGGAACTTCTGACTGGGGGCATGTGTCTAAGAAGGAAAGATGGAGTTTGTGGATGATTAGTATAATGTCAGTAAAAGCCCTTCTTAGCAAAGAGCTGAATGGTAAACATCACTGCTAGATTTCTTACTGGTGGTAACATTCAGGCCCTGGTCCTTTTCTCTGCTGGGAGCCCTTGCCTTCTCCTCTTGGCTCCTGTCCTCACCCTTGGGGAGATCTCCTTTGTCTCCTTCCCTTGTTGGCCACCTCTGAAGTGGCTGTTGGAGGTATGCATGCAGTGGATTTGTACAGTTTTAGTGGCCTGTGCCTTTCCATGTGCTTTCAGGGGCCTGGGGATTACATTTGGAATTGAATAGTCACAAGCGCTTGTAAATTAGTTTTTAAATTTCTTTGGAGTTACAATTTCTGACAAAGCTTAGTGATCTTCTGGTTTTGGTGTTTCTAGTTAGTACCCCAGTTTGGATCATGATGTACCTTATTTCAGTTTTTCTTTACCTGATTTTGAAGACTTCTGAAGCCATGGATTTGGATGGGAAGGAAGTGCTTTGGTTTGATTTTTTTCTGTTTTTTTTGGTGAATACCGGGAACCAAATTGAGGACCTTGCACTTTGCCAGGGAGGCGCTTGTGCTGCTGAGCTATATCCCCGACCCAAGGGTCTGATTTCTTGACTAGGCTGTTTATCTCCTTTTGCCCTGAGAAGTCTCAGTAGAAGGCTTATTTCTGGCTGTTTGGGGATATAGAGATGGTTAGCTTCTGCATCTGCCTTAGCAAGGGCTGGACGCTGTGCTGACTGCAGTAAATGGACAGTGTGACTTAGAGAAATGGAGGCAGCTTGGTATATAGAATGAGTACTATTTTATTGGTCTCACTGAGTTGAATGTGTCTCATCCATTATAATCCATGCCATCATCTCTATACTGTTGAGAAAGACAAAAGCTTCTAATTAAACTAAGACATGCATTAGTTGTAAGATGTATTTCAGCTTCAGTAATATTAACATGGGGAAAATGTGAGTGGAACTTGAGTTGGTGAGATATAAGTGAGATTTAAAGCCAGAAGACCCCTCCTGTCCCTGCTACTTCCTTTTGGTGTGATCTTGGGTGAGTCACTGTTGCATTTCAGTTCCTTTTCTCTCGGAAATGGGGAATGCATCTGTGACAGTGACCTGTTTTTGCTGTGTGGATGGGTGTAGTTAGCAAGAGCCTGGAGGAGCACCTCTATGCCACCCTGTCCTGATCTACCCTGATTCAGCTCAGAGTGTAGTGGTCTGTTTGTCGTGGTCAGAAAATACTGAATGGGTGAATGAATGGATGACTGAATGAAGTGTAGAAATAATGAAGTGGATAGCTCAACACATGTTCAGTTTTTCCCTCCTTTTATTTTTATTTGTAGAAAGAAGGAACTCTCGGCCACCAAGAAAGATCGTGTGAATCATTGTCTTACGATCTGTGAAAACATAGTGGCGCAGTCTCTCAGGTAACCAAACTTTCAATCTCTACAGGAAATGAAAACTGCATTTTCTATTGTAATGGGTTAGAACGTCCTTTGTGCCCCTACTTATCTTTAAGAATTTCATTTAAAATAGAGATCCTTTCTCCATATTTCTGGCTGTGTGTATACAACCATAAGTAATGTTTCTGTTTTGTAATCTTATTAATTGTAGGCATTATGATCATTGAACAACATGTTTATATTTAATTAGCACTCTTGATAAGCACTTACTTAAAAATCATCTTTGGTTTGCTATTTTTACATTTGTTGCAGAAATGTGAACAGCCTGAGACTGTCCAGTTAATTGTCTCTGATTTCTATGTTCCAGGCAGGGGGCCAATGGTTGGCACCCTGGAGTGTTGTGCCCCAAGCAGTGGCTCCTGCAGGCGCTCTTATGTTGAGGGTTGGTAGGGTTCGTCTTTCTTGCTAGGTGAATCAGTGGCGTCTTCTTGCATGATGTCTTTGCCAACCTCATTCTCATTGCTTTTCTGTCTGTCTGATCCAATTGCTCCTAGTAGTAATGGATAGTCAATATTTTTAGGCCCATTTTCAATGGCAGAACAAGAGACAATCTGTACCTATAATTTTTGAATGCCATTACTCAGAGGGATGTGTGTGAAAAGTTCTCCTTGCCCTTCTCTCCCTGGAAATTAGTAATTCATGTTATCTCCTGCTGGAATCCTGTCAAGAACACTTCATAATTTGAGAATGGTGGCACATACCTAGCATTTGGGAAGCTGAGGCAGGAGGATCACTGAGTTCAAGGCCAGCCTGGCCCACGCAGCGAGTTCAAGGCCAGCCTAAATGACAAAAGGAGACCCTATCTCAAAAAAAGAATCTTGATTTCAGTACTGGCCAGACACATGTGATTCACTTGTGCTTAAAAATATTTGACTTTTCTTTTCTTTTTCTTTCTTTTTTTTTTTTTGAGGTAGGGTCTTTTTTTATTTTTATATTTTGGGACCAGGAATCAAACTCAGGGCCTTGCGCTTGCCAGGCAGGCACTGTGCTACTGAGTTACATCTCCAGCCCGAGTTAGGGTCTTACTGTGTAGTTCAGACAGGCCTTGAGCTCAGTGTGTAGCCCAGGCTAACCTCAAACTCGTGATAATTCCCCGTCAGCCTCCTGAGTACTGGTACTACAGGCATGCACCACTACACCTGACTCAATGTTGAATGTATTTTAGTTATAAAATACATAAAATACATTCATTTAGTTATAAAATACATTCATACAATGTATTCAAAATACATTATAACTAAAGTACATTCAACATAAAATGTACCTTTTAACTATTTTTAAGTGCACAAGTCCTTACATTCATAATGTCACACAGCCATCACCGTCAGCTGTCTCCATAGCTTTTTTCATCTTGCAAAAGTGAAGCACTGTGCTCAATAAATAGCAGCTCCTTGTGCCCCAGCTCCTCAGCTCCTGGCAACACCAGTAGATTCTGGGTCTCTGCCTGACTAGTCTAAAGACCTCATCTAACTGGTATCATGGAGTGTTAGTGTTTTTCACTATTAATTTATTTTTAATGCCATATTGCATTTGTATTTTATATTTTCAAAGTGATTTCATGTAGAATATTTCAGTTTAACTTATTCCATCAGTTGTGAAATGATAATTCTTTCTAATTTGTAGAACAGCAGGAAGAAAATGAAATAACAAATGAGAATGTGTACTGAAAATAAGAAATTAAAGGGCTGGGGATATAGCTCAGCAGCACAAGCACCTGCCTGGCAAGTACAAAGTCTGAATTCAATTCCCAGTACCAAAAAAAAAAAAAGAATTTAAATATTTAAGTTAACATGCTATTGTAGAAATCAGCACAGTGATAAAAGTAGGGGGAAAAGTTTGAACTCCATGTCTACCTCCCATATAGCTGACTGCTTTTAGATGAGTTTTGACGTCTTTGAACCTCTGGGGTCTCGTTTATGAAACATCAGCCCCATTTACAGAGCTCTAGTAGGATCAGATGGTAAATGTGAAGAAGTAACCGTACGAGCTGCCTGGAAATACATCTCATCGTGATGCACACCATCTGGAGCTATCAGTTACCTCTAATTTTGTGTGAAGTGATCTTAATACTGCAAAGGTTTGGTGACTTGCTGCTGTACCCCACTTTGTTCATAGGATCGCCACCACCCAGGTTCTGAAGAACATCATTTGTCCTTGGAAGCTGCTGATCCAGAATACATGATCTATTTGAATCTGCATACTTCAGTCTTTGTGCTTATTTTGTTTTTTTGAGAATCCTTTCTGGATTCACATATTAGTAAAGTATATTGTGATATCTTAAGGTTGAATTGTGATCTGTTTGCTGTCTTAAATCATAACAATAGCTGTTAATAGTTTTCACAGCTGGGAATATAGTTTAGTGATATATTTTCTAGCATTCATGAGGCCCTGGTCTCAATATCAGTGTCTCAGGAGGAAAACATTTTCACGTTAGATTATCTTTTATAGAGTAAATTATTATCTTTTTATAGAGTAATGCTGAGGGTTGATCATAATTCTTGTACAGAGGAGCATGTTAACAGGAAGCTTTGGGACCCAGAGAAGTCCTAGGTCTCATCAAATCAAGATTAAATTTGTTTACAGACTACATTTTAGGCCATAAAGCCAGCCTTAATATAAAAAGTTCAAATAATTCCATGCATTCTATCAGGTCATAGTGAATCGAAGCTGAAATTAACAGCAAAAGAAACCACAGAAACTGCACAAACGCGTAGAGAGTGATTAATATACTTTTGAATGATCAGTGAATGGGTTACTGAAGAAATCAGGTGAGAAATTCGAAAATTTTAGAATCAAATGAAAATGGAAACACCACATACCAGATTCTATGGAACACAATGAAAGAAGTTTAAAAGGGAAGTTCATAGCAGTGAGTTCCTACATTAGAAAAACAGAGTAATCCTAAATAAATAAACTACTGATATATCTCAAGGTCCTAGAAAAGCAATAAACTAAACCCAAATCAAGAAGAAAGAAAGAAAGAAAGAAAGAAAGAAAGAAAGAAAGAAAGAAAGAAAGACACAGTGCAATTTCATGAAATAGAGAGTAAAAGAACAATACAAAGGGTTAATAAGCCACTCGTGGTGGTGCATGCTTATAATCTCAGCACTTGGGAGGCAGGAGGATAGCCCTCAAGTTCAAGGCCAGCCTGAACTACATAGTGAGATCCTATCTCAAAAAAACGAAAACAAAAATAAAGGGTTAATGAATTAAATAATTGGTTTTTGAAAAGATAAAGCAAGATTAATAAACCCTTAGCCAGTCCTGCCAAAAGAAAGAAGGTTCAAACTAATTATAGGCAAAAAAGGCAAAATTGGGCTGGGGATTTAGCTCAGCGGCAAAAGCGCCTGCCTGGCAAGCGCAAGGTCGTGAGTTTGGTTCCCGGTACCGGAGAAAAACCAAAAAAAAAACAAACAGTTGTTGTTATGTTACATATTGATATCTTTATCTATGTTGCTCAGATTACCAGATGTAAGAATGGAAGATTGTTCAAACCATTAAAGAGAATTAAA